TTTTTTTTTTTTTTCTTTTGGTACCAGGGATTGAATTTGGGTCCTTCTGCTTGCGAGGCAGGCAGTGAAACCACTGAGCTAAATCCCCGGCCCAGGACTTCACTTTCAATGTAAGAGAGGTTAGAAGTATGAGATATAACTGTCGCAAGATCCTAACAAATTTCAGTAAAAAATAGACAAGAGTCACTGTCAAATAAAAAGAGAAAACAGGGCAGGGCGGCTGTTCGGTCTCTTTATGATAATTCTACCTTGGCTGGCAAAGGATAGGATGCTCTATGATTGTGCATGTCCTTCACAGGCATAAGACTAGGTTATCCATACTTTACCTGCACCAGATTTCAAACTGGATGCCACCTCCAGGCACAAGCCCCTGTGCAGAGAAGGCACTTAGAAGGAGTCTTTGCACTGGAACTTCAGTTGGCAACAGGAGAGTATGATGGTGCTCACTGTTAAAGATGGGATCTGGAATGCAGAGTGTGGTTGCAGTTCTGCAGGGCTTCACAGTAATTCCTTTGGAAAAGAAAAGCAGTTCAGAATAATCAACATGACATTTAGTGTTTTGTGTGTAGTAGGACAGCACTACTTAAATATACAGTATTTCAATTTTATCTTCACAATTATTACTGTTACTTCACAGGTATTCCTACTATTACTTCACAGATGACAGTAAGGATACCTTAAGAATACACAGTTAACTGAAAGGTCTTAAAGCTAGTAGGTCCCAGACCTAGAACCAGGACCTACATTTTCTGACTGTGTTATTCTATTTTTATTTATTGATTGATTGAGACAGGTTCTCACTATATAGTTCAGCCTGGCCTCGAACTTACTACAACCCAGGCAGGGCTCGATCTCGTGGTGATCACTTCTGCCTCAGCCTCCCAAGTGCTGGGATTACATGTGTGTGCCACCATGCCTGGCTAGTATTCTTACCAAAGTCCATTTCCCTAATTCAGTGGTGGCAAACAAATAGCACACATGCTAATTTCTTTTTAAGACAAAAGATGTTAATGTATGAGTTGTTTTCTCTAAACTAAAACCTCAGTATTCAGGTTTAATTGCAGTGTTGGCACTTTGGGATAAATAAGTGGGTTTTGAGTTGCAGTTTGGGTACTTGCCTCTAAAAGGTTCACCATCACTGCCCTAATGACTATGGTCTCTTAAGTTCTTATGATAATGTGGAAGAGATCCTTCTGTTCTTGGACAATGTACTGGGGTTCCAATTTCTCCACATCCTGTCGACACTTGTTAGTGGCCTTCTCTCTCCTCTTTAAATTACAGCTATTTTGGTGAGTATAAAGTGTAGCTCATGGTGGTTTTGATATACATTCCCCAAGTGACTAATGATGCTCAGTATCTGCTATGGTTTGGATGTAGTTTGTCTCCAAATGGTTCAGCTGTTGGATGCTCAGTCCCAGTGTAGCGATGTTGAGAGGTGGTAGAACCTCTAAGAGCTGGGACCAGTGGGAGGTGGTTAGATTACTGGTAGTGCTGCTCTCAGAAGAAATTAATACTGGTTTCATAGAGTAAGTTAGTTTTTTTGAGAGCAAGCTGTTATAAAGTGAAGACCACCCATGTGCTTGACTCCTTTGGCATATAGCCATCTCTGCTCTGCTTCTCAAGTTGTGACTCAGCCAAAGGGACCTCTGTCAGAAGCTGAACTGATGGAGCCATACACATTTGGACTTTCAGCCTCAAAAACTATGAGTTAAATAAACTTCTTTATAAGGTACCGACCTTCAGGTATTTTATTACAGCAACAGAAAATGGACTATTATAGTATTTTTGTATGTGCTTTGTATGTATTAGCTACTTGTGTATCTGTGGAGAAATGGTTAGTTGCTTAGTTTTCCCCTGGGCTGTTTTTTTAAATTATTGATTTGTAAGAGTTTTTAATATGCTCTGTATATACATTTCTTATTTGAATCCCCAAGTCAATACTGGCAGCACCTGGCAGTCATTTATGGACATGTACAGAATGGTGAAAATTTTTGAGTTGCCAGATTTGCTCACTTTCAGCAGAGATCATATAAGACAAGACTCTGCTTTTTTGTTTTAGCTCTCAGAGGTGATTAGAAAATGGAGATGGTAAGGGCAGAGCAGAATAGTACAAGAAACTCTAGCTCTGTTTACAATGAACAGCATTTGAATTTCAACTGGTACTTGTTGATGTGTCACCTTGAGCAAGTCATTTAACATGACAGAATCTCATTTTCTCTTTTATGAAAAACAAACAAAAACCAAAAGAAAATAGAAACTAACCAGGATCTTTGTTTGTAGGATTTAAGATTCTGATCTATGTGAGACATGTATATATACATTTTTCTTTTAGCAACAATTGTTTGGAATTCCCTAATTTCCTAAATTGCTCATAGTGACTTTATAGATCATAACTACCATGAATAATAAGAATTAACTATATGTGACTAAAATTATAGGCATATAAATTATACAAAATCAGATAAAATAATTGGTAGCTCTATAAAGAAATTCTTTGTACTATGTTCTTTTCATTCTTTTTTCTTTCTTCTTTAAATTTCGAGACAGGGTCTTGCTAAGTCATTAAATTGCCTGGGTTGGCCTTGAACTTAAAATTCTCCTGTCTCAACTTCCCAGAGTGCTGGGATTACAAGCATGCATCTCCATGCCTAGCTCTTTGTACTACAGTAAGTACCTGACTTACAAACATTGAGTTGTGAATTTTCACAGATACGAAATGGACCTTGCATTATGAACATTCATAGATGGGAACAAATCGTGGAAATAGCTTATGTGTCTACCTTACCATTTTACGGTAACTGTAAAGTAAAAGTAGTTTATTTACAGTATTTTTGTGTGTGGTTTGGTTTATGTTTAACATTGTATATTTGTGTTAAAGGTGTATAAGACTCTGTTGGACTTATGAATGAATTCGACTTAGAACGTTCTGGAATAGAACTTGTTCATTAAGTTGGGGACTTAGGGTATTTGTATAAGTGTTCTGTAAATCTGAAATCATATCAAAATAAAAAGTTACAGGATGGGCACATGCCTATCATTTAGGAGGTGGCAGGGTGATCCTGAGTTTGAGCCCAGCCCAGGCAACTTAGCAACTTAATGAGACCATGTCTCAAAATATAAAAAGGGCTAGGAAGGTAACTCAATGAGAAAACTATGGTCTCAATCCCCACTACTGCAAAATAAAGAAGTACAATTTATTTAGTCCATCTCCTGTTTTACTGCCTGAGGAAAACTAGAAATATTCAGCAACAAAAAATCCACTCAAGAAAAAATAAGTGTGAAAAAGAACTATACAAGAATGAAAAGGCCTAGCTGGCCATGCGGTACATGCCTGTTATCATAGCATAGAGCAGGCTGAAGCAAGAAGATCACGAGTTTGAGGACAGTTTGAACTACATAGAGTTCAAAGGTGTCCTGGACTATATAGTGACATCCTGTCTCAAAAAACAAAAAAACAAAAACAAAAATAAAAAAGAATGAGAAGCCCTAATCGACCAAACCTACCATTTTCAAGGAACTCAGGTCCTCTGAGCACACTGGACTGTGAGTCTTGAAATGGAAAATAGTACTGGACATAACAATCTGCTTCTCCCCAGACTGTTGCCTGAAGAGGGACTAGCCCTTTAACCATCTCTACGTGGAACTCAAAGTGGTGCTCCATCAATCCATTTCCTTGGTCCTCCTCCTATTACATGAGACAGAAACACTGGTGAGCTTTAAAGAATGACTTACTTAAAATATTCCTGCTTCTCGAGAAAGCCTGAGTATAGATGAGGAAATAAAACAGATTCTTAATTTTACTTATATTTAACCCTCACAACTGCTTAGTGTAAACAGACCAAGCAGGATTTTCTCTAGCTCATGACACTGAATTCATATTAGGAAATCCATGAATGTAATTCTATGCATTAATGGAACAAAGGGAAAAAAACCAGTTAAACATCAATAAATGCTTAGTAGCCATGTGGTAAAATGCAGCAGTTGTTTAATGAAAGCTTTTAGTGCACTAAAAATAGAGCCCATTTCTTTAATAGGGAGAAGAATACATATTTGAAACCAACAGGTATTAATTTAGTTAATTACTATCTCTAGAGACCCTGGGAAAGTCTAATAACAGTAAGGACTTGGGCTGGGGATTTAGCTCAGTGGTGCCGCCGCCTGCCTTGCAAGTGCAAGGTCCTGAGATTGATCCCTGGTACCAAAAAAACAAAAACAAAAACAAAACAGTAAGGACTACTTAGGGAGGTAGTGAATACACCATTACTAAAGGTATAATTACTATTAAAGATTAACCATGTATTTATTGAGTATTTACTACAAGCCAGGCATTGCACTAAGTACTTCATTTGTATTACATAATTTAACATGCATAGCTAATAACAGCGGAACCAGGATTTGGACTCAGGTAGTCTGATTCTGAAGTCAGTGTCCTTTACCTCTATCCTATACAGTTTCTGCAGACATTAGACAACTGATTATTTAAAGGGGAAAATTCAGGATTCAGATAAGAGAGAGATAGAATAAATTATGTATTTACCACTTTATCAGCCAATAAATCTGGAATAGAGGCGCTATTAGGTCTTTGCTTTGAAATCTAAAAATATGTTAGCAATGACTGGTCAAAGGCTTTCCTTAGAATAGTAGAAAACTTACATTTTGATTTCCTGAATGAAAAAAATTGGTGTGGAGGGGTCTCTCAGTTATACCAGCTACTTGATTTGATCATACAGTATTGTAGTAATTTAACATTTCAGTTCCACAGATGATGAACTTGATCAAAGCCATGAGTATGGGGGGAAAATCAATTGTATTTATAGATACATAAACTCACAAGCAAGCCTTTCAAGGATTTCCTCTGTGTCCATATTAAGAAATATTTTCTAAATTTTAGTATGGAATTTAACAAAATCTGAGTGTACGGGACAAAATGGGAGAGCATATAATACTTAAACAGACTTGGGCATATTATTGGTAATTTTTCTTTATGTTTTTAAGTAATTTCAATTAGAAAAATATCATTTAATTTACTGATAAGACACTAGTATCTAATAAACAGCAAAGGATTAGAGTTCATAACATAAACAATAATCTGCTAATGGATATTTTCCTGATGCAGACATTCAAATCTGTCATCCAGATTCAGATTAAAGAACATAACATACTTAAATGATTGTGGAGATACTGATTTCAGGTTTTACTAGTAAAGACAACAAATGCTGTATGTATAATATCATGACACAGCGAAATGAAAACTGAACTTGGAGTCAAAAGACCTGTCTCTGAACTCTATTCTCTCATTCTTAGTTATGTGAATCTACACAGTAACAAAACTTCTTTGATTCTTTGTTTCATCACCTATAAATGAGAATGATCTCATATAGTTGTTAGGGAAATGAACATAGAGTATGTCATAAATAAAGTTTACTTTCTCAATTATATAGCACTATACAAGAGATTTACTTTTAAAATTATTAATAGAAAAACAAGGCACTTCAAAATAGGAAGAAAAGGTCCAAAGGGGTAGGGGTAGTGGGAGGGGCAGGGGAAAGGAAAGAAGGGAAAGGAAAAATGCTGAGAAATGGAAAAAAT